TTTGTAAGCATTGTAATACCATTGGTCAATTTGCAGTGCGGTCAGAATGCATTATTTAAACTTCAGTAATATTTTACGTTATTAATCCTCAAGCACTGGCAGCAAGATTTTTAAGAAGTCTATATATATAAGTTAATGTAATCCTGAGGTCTTAGTGACACCACAGTTTTCTTAGGGCCACATCAGAAATTTGAGTATCATTTTGGAAATACCAGTTGTTTCCTTTTTATTCCACAAACATAAATAACTTAGATAAAAATCAACAGCCATACATTAAAAACAAACAAACAGTAACTTCTTTTTTAGTAAAAGTAACAATTCTAACCCAAGAGTTAAAAGCATTTTTCTACCCTATTTACAGTAAAGAAAATCCACTGAACCAGCTGCCTTTCATGTAAGCTTTTAGTGATTAGAGAACACCAACACACACTCTCCATTTTTTACCTTCAATATCCTGGTTGTCTACGAAAGGCGCTGGTCCCCATATTCTAACAGTGCCATCATCAGAGGCGCTGGCCATCATGGATGGAATCTGCGGGTTCCAGCTCACACAATTAACAGTACGTGTGTGCCCCGTCAGCTCTGCAATTGGCAGCTCACTACGCTTGTGCCAAATATATACTTTGTGATCTAAATAAAATATGCATCAAAAAAAAGCACAATGAGAAACATTCTGCACAGACCAATTTGTCATATCAAACAGGACTTCCACACAAGTGCTCGGCAACTAAAAAAATCCATTTATGTTGTAAAACCTGTGTCTAAAACCCGTGTCTGTTGAATATGCAATAGCACTAACAAAAATGCTCAAAAGAATACAGATAAAGCTCTTCCACTAGCACGTTCCCTTTTAACATCCGCAAGTCTATTACGCTTGGTATTTGAAGAAAAACATTTGACTACAATGCAAATAAGCCAATACACAGCTAAAGAGAGAAACCAAGCTACTCTTAAATTAAAAGATACGGAGTTGTATGTAATCTTAATTCAAAGAGAAGTCTTGCAGATTTATTTTTTTTTTTCCCCCCTGGAACCATCGCATTTACAAATTAGTACCTGCATTATAAAGTCATGAGTACTACAGCAGAATATTTACAACCACCACCTGTTGATGAGTGGTAGCTAAGATCACAGCTCTATAGTTTATGAAATACTTCTTGATCCTAAAGACCTTAAAATATTCCAGTGAAAGTGCAAACAGAGCAAATGAGGGAGGGCAACAAAACTTAATGTCTCAAATTGTGAGCTATCTTTGAAGACAATTAATGATTGCGTGATATGAATGCGTACATATTAAAGCAGATGCAATAAACAACCCTACAGATCTTACTTTGTGATAGGAAGCTTTTAATTACTTCTGGCAATATACTGGAAATAGAGTACTGAACCTTTTTTTTTTTTAGAGAAGCGTTACTGCTTTTTAACCAACCATATTTAAGAATAAATGACTAAAGGTGTTTTGTTTCAGGTTTGGGGTTTTTTTCCGCAACTGAAGACTAGCAGCTTTTAACGAGTCTGTGTGCTGACCTCTCTAGGAATGTCTTTGGAATATTCCAAACAGAACTGTAACAAACCAAGTAAGTATGTATCACTAGTATTACACAAAAGCCTAGTATTCAGGTCTAGCATATCAAATGAAAGCATCCTAATCTATTCGAAAGGTTTTAATGTAGTTGTCATTCTGAAGACTTAGCAAACAAACCAATCTTCCTCTATTCCTCCTCCCAAACCCCTTACAAAGCAAACTTGCTCTCTGGCCTACCTGCTAGAATAGCATCACGGAACAATGTTGTAGCTCAACTTGTCTTCTGCTGAATCAGCTCATTTGAGTACAACACCTTTACATATACTTGTACTGATGCAAATGTTCTGGTTGTGTTTACATTCCACTTATGACTTCAAGAGACTACATACCTACACTATTCAACAACACAATTCACCCTCTGCTTAAACATGGGACATGAAAGCCTCTGCTGTCTGGGAGAATCTAAGCCTAAACACAAACCAGTATTTTGGTGCTTGTCCAAATGCCTGTATTTTGTTTTGGCAAAAACAAGTTAGCTAGATTAAGACAGCAGTCAATTCCCCTCTGAGAAAGAGACCTCCATTTTCTTCCTATTGATTGTCTACCTAGCTGACAACATACCTTAAGTTATGACAATGTAATCAATCTATTACTTTTTTTTAAAAAGGCTATGGCAATGTGAACTGTTATTTTTGTTTTGTTTGCTTGTCTTTTTAAGATACAGACTTTCTCAGTAGCTACATTTGCAACAATTCAGTGCAAAGAGGCAACAGCTTCAGACAGTCCAAATCTAAATAGGGTGCCATCAGTTTCAAGTACTGCTTGGTAGTTTTTAGACAATGAAGATGATAAAAAATAAACAAATGGGAAAAAAAAAAAAAAAAAGACTGGTGCACTGTAGTATCTACAGCTACGCATGCACATCAGTATGGCTCAACATAAAACCTGAACTTGCAGGTACTTAGGTCCCAAACCAAGAACCTTGTTCAACCCTGAAGAGGTTCACACTGGACTGGAGGTGCTGTCCTTCAGTCACTATATTCCACTGGGTCTGGTCAGAGCGTAAATTTTGGTTTGATTTTAGACATATTTGTTATTTTCCAGAAAAGGATAGTAGTAATGTCCTAGCCAACCTTATTTCCTAACAGCTATGAGTTACATAGTACTAACAGTGATTGCTTACATATTCCAAGCATAACTCTTAGCCCTGCATAGGCTTGAATCTTAAGTGACCTCCATGGGAGGTGATGGCACTACCTCAGTGACAGAACTGAACCAATTCAACATATAAACCATTAACTAATTTTTATTCTTGCCACAGACAGTTCAATAAAAACATACCACAAAGCCTTTGATCACCAAGAAACCCTACCAGACTCTGTCAACAACTGCTTAATTTGAGACTATGCTTAATTTGAGACTACTCCTTCCATAATTAAGCTGATGACTCCATTGAAATGAAAATAACCTCACCACACCTGTATCTCCAACAGGCAAATGAAGCACTCCCCAGAAGTATTTTTGATTCAAACCATAAGCCTAAGTATCATACCACAAAAAGAAAATGCCTCAAGAACACCTCACCCACTTCTAATTAAGACTGTGCAGATGCTTTTGCTTTAGAGGAACAACACAAAAGATTCATTAATGCTTTTTACTACCACCATCCTCTCAAAAGATTCTTTCTGCTAGCACACAATTATTTCCTGAAGTATGCCACAATCTCAGGGCTCCTCAAACTTACTTAATGAGCCAGTTGCTTGCTTTTATAGATGACAGCTGCTTACAACATTATAAAAATAAGGTATAGGAAGGATGCAGTGTTCCAGTTTTCTGCACAATAGGGAATGATGTTACCTTCGCTGCCACTCGCGATGAAATCCTCATTGTGACCTCCAAAACACGAGTGAATTGTGTAAAATCCTTGTGTAACACCTTGATACTTTCTCACTAAAACTCTGTCTTGTAAGTCCCATAAGTGAACTCCCTGGGAATAAGTATAAAGAATGTTATTTTATCATTAAATATTATTCATTGCATTCTTTTGAAACACTAAAAAAAAAATCAAATATGATGAAAGTACATTACTTCAGTACTGTTATTCGGTCAAGAGAGTAAAGATATACCAAATTATTAGATTAAACATTCAGTCTGTGGTCCCTTCCATTCTGAAAGCTCCTATTCTTCCCAAGGTTCCAAAAGTAGAAATAAATAAATAAAATGTAATTCTCATGCCTCCACACACGTCAACCTGCTACGATTCTTGCTGTACCATGCTTCTCGATGCAATAGCCAGATATTAACATTTAATAGTACATATTTCGTAGTACGAAACTCTTGACTATAAATCAGTCAAAAAGATTAGTCTCAAGAGTAAGATTGCCTTCTTGTCAGAGAATGCCATGCTATACTGATGAATACTAAGGACTTCATATTACATGAAATCCAACTGCTTAATATCAAACATTCCAATTCACATAAAGATACTTAAAACAGGTAGCAGATGCAAGCAGATTTATTTGCATTTCCATTTATCATCACCAACTCACCTGAGTTGCTACATTTAACAAAGCTAAACGGCCATTTTTTGAAATAGTAAACGACATAATAGGGTGATCTTCTTGTACTCTGAAATGATAAGACACATCCGTGTTAAAAGTACACTTAACCAAACAATGATGCAATTCCAAGACACGCCTTTGCATGTCCTGTCTCTGTAGTATTATCAGGGAAAGACAGTTCTGAATTTGAAATTACGTATGTCTTTATGTCAGTACAAGCCCGGTCTGCAATAGTTTACTTATACTTATGACAAATCCCAAGACCAAAAGGAACTTCAGCCCTCAAATCCAACTCCTAACTTTAAGGCAGGATCTACTAAAATATGCCAGGAATTGAGAAGACAACAACTCTTGATGACAGAAATGTCAAATCATCCATAAGAAACCTTCTCCAGTGCTTAAGAAATTATTTCTAATACTTGATCTAATGCTTCTTGCTGCAACTAGAACCCACTAATTCTTGTCCCATGTTATTCTCCTTTTTTAATACTGAGAGCATTTTAGTAACTTATTTCCCATCCTGCCTCACAAACCCTTCCTCAATCTTCTGACACTAAGAACCAGGAATTCAAAACCAAGGAAAAAGAGGTAGTTACATGTTCCTGTCTGTAAGATCCTCAAAGTTATAGCCCCGAATTCGCTGGTGTGTGTCCGATGCTAGAACAGTTTTCCCATCACTCAAGCACCAAAGGCATTGTACTCTCACCCCTTCCCAGGAGTCAAGGAGATTACCATCTAAATCCTGATCAGAAGGGAAAAAAAAAAAAAAAATGTAATTGTTAGTCGCAGATTTCTAAGGAGTTGTGACACAAGTATCTTTTTCATCTTCTGTTCAGACCATTGCTACAGAAAGCAGTCTTACCCTGTTAAAAGAGGGGACAATGAATTAGGACTTGGTTGCCTTCACCGAGGGCTTTTGTAGGTTATCTGTCCTGCAGAGCTCAGAATCCCTTTCATTACTTATTTTCTTGGGCATGACACATGCAATTTACGTCATGTCACAGAGCTCACCTTTGCAGTGAGTGAGGTTTGCATACTGCACTATTTTTCTGGGCACCAATTCAGATGACAAATAATCAAGGGTAGCGTGAGACTGTGGACCACCATGCAAAATCAACACTAGTCAAGTAACGAGGGTTTCAAATTTCTCTTTACACTAAGCAACGACAGCATGCAAAAACTAAGACAGACATAGTCAAAGTTCTGTGGAACAAACGTTACTTGTGGACAAAGGCACTACTTTTTATTCATGTATTTTCCAGAACAGCTAAGAAAAAATTCCCAGCCCACAAATTCTCCTTTAGGCAGACAAAATATGCTTGAAACCTTCTAACTGCTACATACAGAAGTGCTGCTGAAATACTAGCATTAATGTATTGCTACTTTGAATTACAAAGGATCAGAAGTTTTAGTGTAAATACACATGAAAAAAAAGTGAAAAAACATGAACTTCAGATTTGACTGTGACAAAACTTCCATTAGTTGTTTTGTTTTCAATGGGACAGATGCAGAGAACTTACACACTGATAGAACTGTCCACGCTGACCTCCTGTTACAAAACGCTTCCCATCAGGATTCCAGGCCACGCTTGTTAAACTGTCTTCATGAGATTGGCTCATCTTTGTCCTCAGCTCCCCAGTCTGGAAAATAAACAAAGGCAGCAAGGCCTCATATCAGAACGCTTTCCCAAAAAGGCATTGATAATTTTACTTGACATAACAGTGTTTGAAAGTGCATATATTTAACGCATTTATTAAAAAGCAAGACAAACCTATGAATAATGCAATAAAAAGGCAGAACTACCTCAGCGTCTCCAGTGACCCTGGACTTGATTTGGGACAATTGCTTTTGCCCCTCAAATCAAGAGAGATGGACTAGTCAGTGTATCAGGCAACTGGAAGATTACGAGTAAAGAGAGGAATTAAAAGAAGTTGGAAGAACACATAAGAGAGAAAAGCAATACGAAATGAGAAAAACACAAACATGGAAAGCAAGGAGGCGGGAGGAGACTGAAAGAAAATAAGAGTGACAAAACACATTTTAGTAAGAAGTTGGGAGTATCAGAGCATTTGAAACATTTTCCTCCCTGAGCTGGAGCTCTCCATGCCAAAATTTAGCTTTCATCCCTAGCTTATAAAGCTACTGTTTCACAAGACAGAGTGCCAATGAGTGGCTTACCATTGTCAAAACAGCAAGGGCTCCTCTCTATTCCCTTGTGCCAGCTCTAGTGCTCTTCACTGAGCCAATTTAGTCAATTAAACAGAAGAAAAGTATTCCAAGGGTGGAAAAAAAGGGAACATTTCTGTTTTAGGAAACTAAATTAGTTTTGAGTCCAAGGCAGCACAAGAAAGACTATACAGCCTGCAACTGAGGCGGGGAAGCTTTTGTATCAACTCAAGTGCCCATAAAAATCAACAGCAGAAAAGGATTTTCAAATTCACGGAGGAAATGGCAAAATGCCCTAGTGTCTGACTAAAAGACAAAGTTCTGAAATCATAAATTTAAGCCTCTGTGGATCTTCCACTAACATCACCGGAAGGGTTACACAGCAAAAATAGCTTGCATCTTTTACTTTTGCTACTTGTTAAAATCTTCACTAAGCAATCGCTCCCCTTAGACAATAATTCTGCCCCCTGTTTCTCTTGATTAATTCACTGTTGTTCTTTTCAGTAAGGTCCTTCTTCAGTAAGGTTCTCTTCTCTCTAAGGCCCTATGGATTTATGCCATCCCTTCTCAGAAATGTTCAGTAACCAAATAAACTAGAATTGCTGCACAGTCCCAGCACTTAGACTTGAACTCTAATTTCAGTTCTGTACAAACTGAGTGCAGAATGTGTAGGCTGCCATAGTAATTTTTTCAAATTGAAGAGGGGCAGGGAGATCAGCATCTCCTTTACACAAGTTTGTAGAAACGACTTCTTTCATGCTTAATCTATTTAGATATTGAAACAACAGTAGTAAGCTGACCAAAGGTTTATTTTTTATTTTTAGTCACCACTTACTTGTACATTCCAGAGCCAAAGCTCAGAACAATCATCTGGACCACAGGCAACAAGATAGTTGTCATCTGGACTCCAAGCAATATAAGAGACACCATACGCATGACCTTCTAAGGTCTTGAGTAGTTTTAGCTGGTGAGTATCCTGAAACAAGAGAGATTCTGTTCAGACAATGCAAATGAACTCCTACTAGATTTCACATATACAGTGTGTCCACCATGCAACTTGGCACCTGCATTTTACAAGACATGAATAGGTTCTTACTGTAAAAGCAGTTGCTAGTTTACAGAGTAGGACCATAAAATGAAAGCTTCTAAGTTTCAACAAGAACATTTGTAGGCATTTTTGTTCTAATCTTCCATGATTTTGAATGTGGAACTCACAAAATACTGTTACGTACAGAGTTGTACATTACATTACACTTGCTTTAGTATAAAGAATTCTGTAGTGTCAAGTCTCTCCACATCTACTGGAATACAAAAGTACTATTATCCATACTTTACACAATTAAGTTACTTTTAAGAAAGTAAAGACATGCTGGGAGCCTGTTATGGTTAAACAGAAAACCAAAACCTTCACGTATGCTGAAAAGGGAAAACCTCCAAGCACCAATGTTTTTATAAACTTGAGTGTATCTTGTGTGTGCTGCTCAAGAAAGAAATTTTACAGAAAGATATTTTTAAAAGGTTCCTTGAGAGGTGTTCTTACTTCAGAAGTGCTGCCCACAGCAGGCTGTTGCATCGTGTCTGCCAGATTTAGTGAACGAAGCATACTTCGCTCACGCAGAGTGTCTTGTATCACCTTTATGCTACAACTGTTCTACTGCTGCCTTGTGAGAGAAACTTGACTTTCAAGCAGCTTATCAACATAAACAGTACAGTTAGATACTGTGAAACAACCATACACTGGCTTCCTAAATACAAAAACATGCTTCAATACAGCATTAGCATTGAGTCTTGACAACGACAGGCATATACAGAAAGCAGGACTGAGCTTGTTAAAATGTTGACAATAATTTTTGTGAAGCCTCTTGGAAAAGGGCAAGTGGATTTTCCTCCCGCCCCCCCACCCCCCCTTTTTTCCCCTCCCACATGGGGGATGTTTATACCTCCTACTTCTCTTCAAAAAGAGTGACTCATTTGAAAATTTAGCTTGCTTTCTCAAATTGTTCTCTCTCTTTCTTTTGTTTAAGTATTGATTGACAGAGCACCTCTTGATTCTAAGGAGAAAGAACATGGTCAACAGAGGAAAAGTGACACAAAGGACTGTTTCCTGAGATCAGCTGTGAGGGATTTGGTGACTCTCAGCCAGCCTGTAGCTTTAATGGTTCTGCTGGCTAGAAAAAAAAATAAATGCCTCAGAAGAAAGTCAGCTAAGAATAACCTTCAAAGCACAGAGAAATAGGAGCAAACCAATGGACCTCCTCAAGTTCCCTTTTCCACCCTAATTATTATTCCTGGTCTGCATTAGACACTGCTGTGTCTGTAGCTAAACTGATCTGCAAGGAAACTGAGTCACATCTGACATCATCCTACATCCTGGAGCTTGCCTGCAACTGATGTACTTTTTACATCAGGATTAAAGTAGCCTGTCACTTCTGCATCACATCTGAGACTCATGAGGAGCAAGATACATAGGATATTTGTCTTCTAATGATAAGACTTTGTGGCCGTTACTATCTTTCATGCTGCTCTCATACTTCTCTCCAAATACAGCAAAATTGCTATACCACGTTTTGCTCTAAAACAGCAGTCAACGGTATTTCAGGAAAATGTCGCCAAATTTAGTCAATCTGTTTCCCACCCACCACCAATGCTCAGCACTTCTATATCCCTTGCATATAGCCTTCCAGATTTTTGTTATGTAGAAGAAACAATTATTCAAGTATCAACTTAAATCCACAGTAGTTGAATTCCTTAGCTGAAAAGCCAAAAACCCGTCAACAGTTTCTAGAAAGTGCAGGGAAAAAAAGAAAAAGGTTTCTGTAAGGAAAAAGTTAAAGGAGAACTCTATCAAAGAATATGTAAGCCAGACAAGGCGATGTGCCTACTGTGCTTATCCTTTGTGCTCCAGAGATTCTGCCACACTTAGTAATGGTCAAATAATGCATTCCACACACAAACCTAGTTCACTCAAGACATTATTTAATGCTGCCAAGTCTGTATATGAACTTTCAAATGAAAACAAAAAACAGAAGTATGAGTTAAGACAGCTTAAACACATAGCTGGGTCTTAGAAAAGAAATAAGAAATTCATAGTATAAAATGAAGAAAATGCATGGAAGCAATGTCATTACACCTCAAGAGGGGTGATGAAGAAAAGAAAGGGAGAAATGAAGGGTTTTCACACACATGAAATGTGAGTGGAAAAAGAACACTGTTCATTTAAAACAGTCTTCTCCCATCACTTGCCCAGACAGACTTGGGTGGATGTTTCCCTGTAGTTTATATACACAGATTAGAATAATTCTAAATACTTAAAGCCTTGAAAACCTGATTAAACTTATGGTTCAAAAGACATTGTCAACTGCTACAGGAGATGTGGGAAGCATGCTTGGCAAGTATGAAAACGAACCATTTCAGTTATGTGGCCTGATGTTATTTAGGCATCCACCTCCTTGAATGGTTTCACTTTGGTTTTTTTTTAAATGTACTCAAATACAGAAGATAAAACACTACAAAGCTGCTTTCTCACTAACTATTTATTAGATATTCTGTTCCTTTAGCTACCCTTGGCCAAAAGGGTTAGCCCAAAACACTCAAAACATTTATTTGGTTTGATTAACCAAGTATTAACCAACTCACTATAAAATGTGCTAATCAAGAAGTTGGGCATTAGAACTCATCAATATAGAAGGAAGATGTGCTTCTAGAATCAAGTGACAAGTCAGTAGCAAAAACATTTGATACTTAATTTACTTAGAATTACTTTGTCTGTTAAAAAAACCAAACAAAATAAAGCAAAAAAACCCCATATAATTTCCTATATAAATAACAGAGGTCAGCTTATGCTGCTATGCATGTCTTGGCCCAGAGCACACTGGCTCCAGTAACAGACAAACCACAACGGTTCTATGCCTGAAAAATTCATAGCACTTGCTGTTAATTCAGGGGCTATATAACAACAGGGTTTTAAAGCTCTCCCATCTCCTTATTAGCAAAAAGGACTCAAATTATATGGGTTCCTAACCTGTAGTGGAAGAAAAAAATTACGTTCAGCTCTCAAATCCTACTGAAAGCCAGTATGGAACTGCAAAAACCTTTCATCTTAGCATACCAGTTTGCACTTGTGTAGGTAAAAAACTGCAAGAATTTTATTTCTGATAGTGTTTTACAAGCATTAACAACTTCAAATATTGTGTGCGTATGTTCAAGTTTGTTCACAATTTTCAATTGTTATGAAATATATAGACATACTTTCATATCACTTCTACAAGTCAATTAAAACAGTCTTAGATTCACCACTCAGTATTTTTATTTACATGATAATAGATATGGGTAGGAAAGATAAATCTTGTAGCTGTAGGATATTTCATACAAGAGAAAGAGTGCCACATATTAGTATCGAAACCTAAAGCCGCAGCCTGTTAGAAAATGGATGGATATACTTCCATGTGTCAGTGGATTCTGACAAGTGTTTAAATCTTCATCTCAAGCCAAGGCACATCTTACACAAGCATGAAGTGACATACTGATACTGAACAACTTCAGTTTAGCATGTATCATTTTATTACTCAGAAATAAAGTAAGAAATGGTGAAATGGATAGAGTATTTAAATCCAAGTTTGCTAGTAGCAACAAGGTAACAGAAAGGGGTCAGTCACATACACAGATCAGAATAACTCTTAGCAAGAGTGATTTAGAAGAAAGGTTTCTCACTGCCATGCTCCTTCCACTCTCACCCAATGCTTCTCAAGGCCTTCAAGCTGAGAAGCTCCCCTGGAGGGCACCAGCAGGTGCTACCCCATAGTACTGGTTAGGGCCACACAAAGTTCCTGCCCCAAAGCAGCCAATGGTTCAAGCCTTACACTCAGGCATCAGGTTTTAACATGTCCTCCTTTACGAACTGACACTGACCATGATCTTCAGTCTTCTACATCCCAGAGAAATACCCTAGTCAGCAGGCCTGTCCTACATGTAGCCTGTCCTACAAAAGTCAAACCATCCTAGCAAGAGAACGTGGAGATGGAAGGGAAAGACAAGTCATACACATTTTAACACGTTGCACACTTACTGGATCAACCTGCCATATAATAACAGTTGTGTCCTTAGATCCTGTTGCTAGTTTAGTGCCGTCATTGGAGAATTTACAGAACCACACTTCATTACAGTGCTCCGTTAGTATCTGCTGTGTATAGCATGGGAACTGTTTCCTGGGAAAAGAAAGGGATGCATTCACAGATTAGTAAGAAAGCAGTAAGAGATTTCTTTAAATCGAGCTAGTAATAACTAAAACAAAAACTTATTTAAATGCAAGACCAGATAACTTAGAAAATTATTCTATTAACAGCTGCTTGAAATAGGTACAGAATGAAGTGTCTTACTTGGTAAAAAGCTCACACCACCAAGTGATCATAACTAAACGCAAGAACTTCTATTCTTATTCCACTCACATAATTTGTTATGCTTTCACATAACTGGTAATAAAAGTGACCTCATTAGGAGTGTAACAGCTTATTACTATACAGTTCTATGATGTATAGACAATACTGGAGTCCAAAGCTCTTTGAACCCTACGTGCATTGTGCAATGTTTATTTACATCTGAGGTTTCTGCAAGTACCTAACTCACTTAGCTGTATCTTGCCAAATCTTTAGAAGTGATTCTTACATAAAAGTTGAGTAAAATAATAGTCTTGTTTCTTTTTCTTGCATGTGATTTTGCAATAAATTGTTTCTTTGTCTTCATTTTGTGCCATTTTTCACTTTCTTTGTAGAGTACCACAAACAATAGCTAAGCATAACTAATATACCATTATGAGCTTTCAACTTGAACTATTTTCCCTCATAATATCTACATTATTTTGCAGGACATTAAGTGTTTATCAAACAGAATTTTATATGATAAACTACTGAAGAAGAGTCAAACATTTCTCTAGAGCTAATATTTAAAATGCTAGTTACACACTGAAGAAAAACTAATGGTCAAACTATTAAGTTAGTTAAGAACTGGAGACAAGTTTTATTTTATTTACAGCTTGCCCACTGTATAAGAATTTGAGAGCTAAGCTAAAATAAATGTAGGCTTTTACAGCACATGACTGCTTTTATAAATAATACTGCAGTTAAGTACAAATTCATTGTTCAGATGCGCTAAAATGCAGTCTCTAACCATGGATATTTTTTCTTGAACTGCAGGGATCCCCAAGTGGTTCAGTCTTTAGTTGAGTTTTTATGGTGCTCAGTGCAACAGAGCAACACAACTCTAATGGGACGTAACAGTAGCAATGTAACAATGACAGTCTCTGTGAATGTACAGTTGTACTTATCACTGGAAATAAACTGATCTAAAAAAAAAAACCCCAAGCAAACAACTATTTCCTTTAAATTTGTGTTTAAAAATAGTTTGGCAATAGCCAGGCTGACAGACACCTGCAAAACTACTTCTTGCTGGAAGCTAGAAAAAGTTCTGCTTAATACAGCACCTATAGCTTCTCAATCCATTTTCTTTTACTAGAAGATGCTTCCTAGCCCATGCTTAGAGTCTATTGAGCAGCACTAAACAGCCATACATCCCTCATTTCCTGTCTTATGGCAGAGGAGGATAAACAAGACATACATATACATATCTGTAGTTGGCTTCCTTGAGTACTGAGTATGTCTACTTACTTGTTTATAGAGACACACAAGTCTGTTCTGCTCCTGCTTTAAGCTGACCAAGAGCTGTCTAGTTGCCACTGGAACAACACTGAGCCCAAGGTAAAAAGCCCCACCCACGAAAGAAGACTTTGTTTTCCTTGAAGTCTAGAGGGAGGAGGGCAAGCCCTTACATAGATATGTGCACCTACAGGAGGAGCGTTTCATTATTATTTAGCCATACTGTAATAAGTTAATGTTTTTGCTCAGAGCAGCAATTTGCTCCAGAAGGTGAAAGAGTCTTTATCTATAACTCATACAAAGTACAAGGGGTACACTGTGTCCCAGGAAAGCCTTTTCAGCATATTTCATTTAAAAAAACCAAACCTCAATAGAACAATAGCGCTTGTATTTTAAAGCTTAAGAAAAGCAGCCAAGCTTTTATAGACATTAAAAGCAAGCAGCATAATGCTGGAGTACACAATTTTCATAGTAAGGTGGTCTTTAGGTTCCTAAAAAGGGTAACGAGCACAGTTGATACAGCAGCTGCCAACACATCCCAATGCTGAACCACGCTATTCACAATCCAGTCAGATCAGAGCACTCTCACAAGAAGTTCTCTTCACTTAAATAATGAAACCCACAATTGAGCAAGCATGACTTCATAGATAGCAAAGCATACATTAAATAACCCTTCTGCAGAAGGAAATAGCAGCAGTCTCAAAACAAGAAATCAAAACTAGTTGTCTAACAGTTTCTGAGTTTGGTAATTAGAAGTTATTGTAGCTCAAAGGTTTTTCTTCTTTGAAGGGTTTCATTACAAATTGTTCTGTTCAGCACCATACACTTGAATCCTGCTGCTCACATTCTGAAATAAAGTATCTAATAAAATGATCTGTTGCTGTACTTACAGAGTTCAAAGTCCTAAATAAAACACCAAACAGCTACTTCTTTACTCCCTGTACATATAATGGAAGATTTATTCCTCAACTTCCACAATGGTTCTTTTTCAAATGCTACATTAAAATAGTACCTAGAAAGCAGCAGCATTCACCTCTCATTTGGGCTCCACTATTTGCAAACTCAGACTAAAGTTTATTTACATAAAAGCAAGACAAAAGAATTCCAGGGGCAAAAAAGAAAAACAAAAAAACCCAAACCAACAACAAAAACCCACCCACCAAAACACCCAACTAGGCTCTCAAAACCAAAAATGACCACCCCCAAGAGCATCAATTTTCTATTATCAAAATCTCAGGCACAGTAAGATGAAATCCCTCACCTTCACTCCCAGCAGTTTCTCCCTCTTATCTCCCACTCTTATGAAGTGATTAAGTTTTAGTTAAACATTTTACCTATTAGTGCAATTCAAGCATGCTTGATATATTGCCAGAAGTCCAAAACAGATTAGTTCCAACTAAAAAAAGGAAAGTCGTCAGTGTTCTATCATTTAAGTAGTACAAAACTTAAATTGTCTAAGCTATTAGACTACTGTTACTTCTGTCAGTTTAATCAAAATTTGGCTTCCACTGTCTTTAACTCACCTCATTATGCCCAAGCATGGCAGCATGTACAGCGCACCACATACTGATCTCAGACCCCTGCAATAGGTAGGTACAATAGGTTGAGTTGAGGACAGAATGGAAGCCTTTATTTTGAAGTGGTTTTTTTATGGAATTAGTCATGAGTATGTATTTATGTATACATACCAAATATGCAACCTTAGGAAGTACCACATTAGGGGAAGGAAAAAAAAAATCACCAACCAACTTTGGCCAAACTTATGTCAACAAATGGATTCAGACGGGTGAAATTCAAGTCCAGATTTGTAGCATACAGTATCCTTTATACCAATCTCTAGCTAGTCCAACTTCAGTAAACCATTCCTTTACAGTTGGCTTGAATGCTCTTTGAGGTTTGATTAATCACAAACCCCTACAGAACATCCAATGTTATTTATGGACTTGTAGAAGACTCAAATTAAATCACTTTCCATTAGCCCGATTTTAAGACTCACTTCTGAGGCAGGGAAGCCACAATTCCAGCATCTGATAATTTCCAACAGCTCTCAAAATATGGAACAGCCAAATGTCTGCACACACACACACAAAACTGCTCCAACAATGTGATGTAGCAAAATTACAAGCTAGACAATAGTCTAAAAAAGTCACATTAAGTGCCAAGAATATTCATTTTAAAACCTTCAGATAGCTACAGTGAAGTACTATGGAAGTCTGCATCTTTGAAAACAGATTCTAAGTAACCCAAGAGTGTTAAGTCAAAGCAGCTGAGTTCAGGAAGTTTCTATAAGCAAGTTTATCAGTATTTAACTTCCTCAGATGAGCTAACCTTAACATGAAAAAAACTCCCCTGTAAGCCCAAGTGTTGGCCTGTCACATGAACAAACATTAAGGGTATCGTATACAGCTCTTATTTTCTAGGTGTCCTAGCGCTCATTCCCTTCTTACACCATGCACAGCAGTTTTCCATAAAAGCTACACTGAGTTTTCAGGTCCTTGGCCAAGTTCTGCTAGATAAGGAAAAACCACTCAAGTCAGCCATTCGTTACAAACATACATCTTCCCACTTCCTATCTACTACAGTATGGCATTTTGAAGATTCAGAAGCAGCATCACTTTTTTTTTTTTCCAAAAGTTATCCAGATAGTCTTAAGAGCCAATATGTAGGTGTAAGAGACGTTCAATTCTTACTACCTTACAAATCTCAGGGAATAGTTCTTTATATCATTCCTATTATATATTATGTAAAAATGTCTATTGGACATTTCTACTCTGTTTTAACCTTTGTGTCTAAATGCACCTTACTGTCCACTACTAAAAGTTGAAGCTGACTCTTAACTTCATGAAGTATGCTTTAGTAGGCTTTCTACATTCCAGCAAGCTTGAAGACAGTCTGGATAAGTAACATAATAGTGATTCTTCAGTGAAAACACACGGCTATCGTGTTGATGAATAAACAGACTGGCTGTCCAAAATTACAAGAAATGGGTGGCTAAGAATTAGCATAGTAGTATGTTCTATTCACACCCATCTAATTAAAATTTTAAAGCTTCAGTCTGACCCCACAACCCCGTATCCAGCTACTAAAGTCTCTTATACACACCTTCTCTACTCCACCCCACTACTCATTAAATGAGAACTGTCTTTTCCAAGTCAACTCCTGTTAAACCAACTCAGAATAGTTTTCACGTTCCTTTTATCGGTAGGTACAATTAGATTATTTTAAAAGACAAAGAAAAGATATTGTTGCCCATCTTAAAAGTAGGAAGGGTTTCTTACCTACTACAAACATGATCTATTAGCAGCGAGACAGAATCTAGATTACTATCTAGTTTGGTATTATGATATAGGCACCGGTCCCGTTGTAGTTCCACAGCCTGACGTAGCAGGTTCTGTAAACGCCTTGGAGGAAGCATCACTGATGGGGGTAGGTACGCTTTAAGAGAGTTATTAAGAAAAACAAACAAACAAAAAAAATATATATCAAAACCAAGTTACAAGTAAGAGCATATTTTGATTTGAGTGTTTTTGGAAGAGACTTCAGTAAATAAAGCTTAAAACCTACAGGAAAAAGAGTACACACAGCTTGTCAAATTTACAGCTTTACATCTGGAATTAGAAGCATGAACTTCTGGAAAGCAGAGCTGTATGCAAGGTACTTGTAGTTCTAGTTTATGTTGTTCTGGCCAACAAGCACCATTTAGACAAGCTAACTCAAAACCTAGTATTTAACAAAATCTGTAAAATTAAAAAACAGTATCAGCTGTGTTCATTTAAAGAATTCTCTATGAACACTGTCAAAATAAAGAATACCATAGGTTTTACAACTCTGATACATAGTATTACACCAGCCACAAGAAAGAGAAAGGAGAAACCAGAATTCATAGCAAAGTCTGAGACCACTATAAACCAGTACTAGTATCACCAGTGGTTATAGGCACACTTAGTTTCAACCTCTTAGTAGAGCTGGCACTTACAAAACACTCCCCACCCCCCCGAACCACACATTTAATCACCAAGTTATACTATTACTGCATGCAGCAGAGCTAAGAAATAAGAGCTCCTATTACAAATAGTTTAATCACAGACAGCAAAAGGTTAGATACAGAAGACCAAAGGGTAAAGGCACCTAAAGGTATCTCCATGAACCAAGAAATACAAAACCAACAACCAGCAAATGCAGTTAAAGTCAATTCCCTGGGATACGTCATTATGTAAGATGTACTGGATTTACAGAGGTGGGAATAAGTTCTAAACACTAGAACATCTTACTCTGGAGTTTGTCCAAAAGCTTAGATCTGGAAGCTGTTCCTTTCCCTTCCCACTCTGCTTTTGCACGCAAGTCTTCTGCATGGCTACACATCAGATACCTGTTTAAAAAAAGCGCACACACACCAACAGACCAAGTCTTTCTGGAATAATTCTTTTAACTTTTAAGCATGATCTATATAATGACATTCTTAATGAACTTGAAATAGGGGACTTAAGCTTGAGGCTGATAGGAAAAAAAGGCAGGGAACTATTTCACACACACACGCATCTTCTTCACAACAAGTGTCTACAAATTGGCAATAGAAAAAGAAAAAAAAACCAACAAACAGATTTTAGGAACACAGAAATGTCTTATTTTCACCCAAGAACAAACCAGACTATATTCACCTACTTATTCAATTAAAAGGTAACAGGCTAATAATTTTCAAGATCAGATGACCATACACATGCATGTATTAATTTGGGTTCTAGTACTATAAAAGTAAGTAATCGGGTTATTTTCAGGCACCTGAAACAGAACATAGTCTACTGAATATTCTTCTTTACTCAGCATATCTCACTACAGCTTGTTAATCAACAGGATAGTAGCTTTAATACAGTTTGAGTTTTTACAGTATCAGCTATAAAAAGCTATAGAATTCCTTAGAAAATTCCACCAAAAGAGCTCGTAAAGTCCGAACACTTACCCACTGAGGACATGAATGCGTTCTGTATTATATTTCAGAGGCGTCAGTTCACAGCGTAGAACTTGAAGTGCCTCCAGGACCTTGCCATCCTCCAGGTATTCCAGGTACTTCTGCTGCAGCAGCAAAAACTTCATCCTCTGACATGACAGAAAGCAGCAGTCAGGGGAAAAAGGTTGACTGAAGTTTCAGAAAACGTTTGAGCCTAAACAGAACAGTAGAAACCATTCTACTATGCCCTTCAGAAATAGAGCTATATGTAATGTTTCATTACTCAATTTCTTTGTGCTGGGTTTTCAACAATACTGCAGCAATTAAGTTATCCATGAATTTCCTTTCTGCCTTATGGGGCCTCCAAGTATCTTCCTACCTCATTTCCCAAATCCCCGCTTCAACTTGTCTCACTTTCATACTCACTGCCTTTTCAGTCACCATTCTTCAAACCCTGAATTATACAGGCTTCCCAATCTTACATTCTATCAAGAAAAGCACCCAGAAGCAGCTAATCCCATGTTTAAGACTGCATGACAGCGCAGAACACAACAGGCCAACTCAACAAGTTCTCATAGTGCTTACATATGAGCTGACACGTATTGTTTGCATAGCTGCATAACATACAGCAATAACCAACTGACACTGCCTGAGGTTTTGTTTTATAGTTCCATGTTAAGCTGTTTTCGTTGGGTGTTGTATCATTTTCAGGATTGCAGAAAAAAAAAAATATATAGTTTCCTATATGTAGGAATCACTTCACCTTTCAGAAGTAATCACTGCTATTTCATAGTGTTCCTTTCATCTTGAACAGTTTTTGATTTTTTTTTTTAAAGAAAACAATCAAGCCTGCTATTTTAACAAATGTCTGTGGATAAAGAAAAAAAAATCAGACGTTCATTTAATATATTCAAAAAACTGAAGTCCTAGAAGTTTCTAATATTAATTCATTAGAAACACAGTTTGGTTGTTTCTGGATGAAACCAACTATTATGTGTTTGCACGTCTTCTTTGCTGCTAGCAGTTATCAGAGAGAAAAGACATTTCTGGTCCACAAGACTCACCAGGTTAAAGAGGAAAACGTGCGTTCTTAGACATATCAGTGAGAAACAGAATGACTATTAAGTATAGCAAATTGCATTTGCTTTTCTAATGAATACACCACCAGTTCAATCACTGGTTTCCTTTGCTTTGTCAGGCCTCAGGCACCTCGCTATTTTCATGCTCATATTTGGTCAATGTTTACTCAGTTCCAAACACACTGCTAGCCTCCTTAAGAAGAGGGATAATCAGGAAGTTTAAGATGTTCCTGTCGTATTAAAGCTTACATGAAAGTTTAAGGCTTACTATATGTAAAATCCAAAGTTAAAATATAAAGCATTTTTAGCTTCCAAAGATACTCAGTTCTTCAAAAGAATAAAGTTTCCACATACAATGCTATTAAACTTACTACACAGCTTTGTGAAGCATAAAACATTACACAGTAAAGAGGATGTATGTTCAAACATGTCGGTAGTACTAGTAATAGAGATTATCCTATATGTGACAGGCAAACCCATATTACATTCCCTAGCCAGCTCTTTAGTTTATTTGAATTTGGAATTGTTAGAGCATCGTTGTACAGTTTTTCCAGGCGAGACAGCATTTTTTGGTGTTCTGACATGTAGAAAGCCAGAAGAAAGATATCCCAATTATTTACAACCTCAGTGGTTGGTTCCATGCAGTAGGCCAACAAACCTCATGCTGTTTGCTTATATATGAGCAGCAGGAGGGGTAAGGGCTTCCTCTCCATCTATGCACATGCTCACAAGGATGCATGGAGATGCTCAGGGAGTAGTTGCACACCGTGTTTCACTCCCTCTTGGTCCCCCTCACACTGATGATCACCACCAAATAAAAAAAAAGTAGTCCGACATTTCTAGTTTGTAATAAAAACTATAATCCCTCCAACTCTTCCTTCTCCATTCACTGCATATAATATTTATTAAATTTATATCACCTTTCCTGCAAATGTGATAACCATATCTGTACCTAATTACTTTCTCCCTCCCTACTTTTAGGATTTGGCACGTTAATTTCATTTCTTTAGGAGAAAAAGTAAAAAGAACAGAAAACCCTAAAAAAACCAGTTTTTGTAACTCCAGTCCCAACAATTCCACAGAAGCATTACAGGAAAAACTACCATGCAGAATGCTGTTGCCAAGTTATTCAAAGAAATATAACCTCAGTTTTGGGTTACAAAGTGTAATTTCCCAAAAAAAGTCATTAGTGCCACATGTGACTTTAGCATATTAGGAACGTAAAAGCCTCCAGAACAACACAGTACTGTACCCTTCATGCAGGAGTCTACTGTTAACATAATGGGGAATTAGAATAAAAAGATAAGCAGTTTTAAATTGTAACTTATCTACAGCAAGAGGCAGCAACTAGAGTAAAATGTTGATAGGGAAATTAAATTGATTTTCTAAGCTGTTTTGATAACTGCTCTAAAACTTGCCCTACAGCATACTCAAACAATGGTATGAATGCAGCTTCCTTAAGGCAAAAGTCACACTCCAGTGACATCATATTTCAAGTAATTTTTTATATCAGGACACTCATGGCCTCTTACTACTTATTTTTGTGCAACTATTGACTTTGCTGACAAATAGATTTCACTGAACAGCTGAATTTTGTCTTCATTTTCTCTTAACTACTTATATGCCCTACTAATAGTACTGCTAATTACTTCCAATACCACCTTCTCCTGGTAGACAAGACCATTTTGAGTACATAGTCTCTTCAACAGCCCAAACAACCTCTTCTAGAAGGAACCAGAGCTATTTATAATATTGGCCACTGTAAAGTAAAAGCACAAACCCCACTATTTAAGTAGAATAGAATGACTGTAAAACTAATCTGATGCAGCACACGCACAAGAACAGCTTACTCATTCTCCATATTCTTTAGCTGCCCTCCAAAGACGGGAAATAAAAATTAACATAATCCAAATTATACTATGTACAATGAATGGAAGTGCCTGGGATTTGCTGTTATCACCTCTGTGTTTGCAATGGAAATTCAACATCATTGCAGTCTTTACTGTTGAACAATTTAAATCCATACGCCACCATGGCTTAGCTTACATCAAAGCTTCTTCACCCTGTAGGACCCACGGAAGTCTCCAATGCAACGGTTTCAGCACTGCAGTCCGGCTGGTTTTGTTCAGTTATCACTACCTCATCCTGTCTATAGAGGGATGAGGATATATCACTTTATAGAGAGGATACACATAAAGTGCACTACTTTGCTGTTTCTAAAAGCTATTACTTAAGTGTAAGTTGAACCTCTGACCACGCTGGGGCAAAACTAAGATAGAGTTAATAGATTTACAAGGAGGTTTGTTTGTTTTAATGTATGTACTGCTAACAACATTAAAACAAACAAACCTCCTTGTAAATCTATGTACTGCTAACATTTCACTTTCTTCAAACTACAGCCTTCGATTACTAACATGAATGTTTAGGGGTTTTCTCCTTCCTTGTCCTCATTGTTAGTAGGAAAGCCCCTTGAAGAACCTTAAATTCTAGGAAGTTTTGTATGCATCGTGATTCACCAGTATTAAGTAACCAAAGGTGAAAGCCTCAGTAATGCAACTGCAAAAATAGTAAGACAAGCATCCTCCACAGTCAAGAAATTGGGCCATACAGTAGCAAATCTTCAGAAGTTTAAAGAGTAAAATGCATAACCACCTAAATTTTAGGATTGGATTTTGGTGTAATTTTTGACCTGAGTATCTTAACAAGCTCCACAACAGTTTTATTACTGCACTACGAGTTCAAAATAATTAAGTAAATGCTGCTGAAACAACTATTCTTTGAAATGAAGAAGGTAACTAAGACATGCTGAAATTATCAGCTGATGTTACAAGACATAAACTCAATGCAGGAGCTATCTGCCTATAGCTTGCAGAACTAAGACCCCAATTTTCATTACTTTGTAGTCTTTATTAGAATCATGTGATAGTCTTGTAAAACACCAATAAAAGCACTTAACCATCCAAAACTTAAATGTAAGATTTCATATATATAGGGCAGAAAATATTCCAGCCTATAGAATTTAAGGCTTCAACAATACCAAAACCTGTCACTTAAAGAGTAACTTATTCCAATAGGGAACTGCCCTTAATGCAGAGGGACACCACACAGGCAGGTGGAGCACTTTGCTCAAATGACAAGATATAAATTACTTTTTCTGTTGGATTGCCTGCTGCGGGCTATATACCTCCAGAACTGGGGGAAAGCCCCATTTAAGTAAACAAAAATAAAAAGTAAAGAGGACAATTTGAAAGTATATTCTAGATGACCATAGAGGAATAATCTCCAGATTTTTTTCCTGGGTTCAGTTAGTTACCCAGGATGGATGCCATAATATGCTTGAACGGCCCTAAAGTAAACAAAACCTCAGGCTGGCTTGAAACTGATATTTTCTAAGTGTTACTCAAGGAAAAATAACATGCTTGAATCAACTATAAAGTTTTCCTACAGTTTGTCTCAAGACAGCTATATCTTATATGCTGGAAAAGTAAATATGACTAATCACATACTATATAGTGCTCAGTTGTGTTGACACAAATAGAAACAGCAGACTGTTGTCCCCACCCCCAACATATCGACACACAAAGGTTTACAAATCAAAATCAGCCATTTCACATTTAGTGTTTTCACCTGTAGAACTTACACAGCACTTTGCAGAAATAAGGAAACTAAAACAGGAGTAGAATTTTCAAAATACGTATTTATCCCCTTCCCTGACCAGACATTTCAAAAACAGCTATATATCCTCGTTATTTCATCCAGGTCATACTAACTGTAAGAAAATAAAATAAATCCACCAAACCACAAACCAAAAACAAACCACCACATACACACACACACACACACACACCCTACTTTGTTAAATGTTCTGTGTCATCTAAACTTTTAGGTACCCATTCTTCTTGTATGCACACATTTCTGAAACATCTAGTCATATAGTATAAGTCACAAGTCAGAAGCCAGGAAACCCAAAATCTAATTTTCTGTTTTTAAAGAGTTGCTTGCAGCAGTATCTTGTTTTGACTTTCCCTAATCAAGACTCTGACTTTGTGGCAGTCAGGATTACCTACAGAGCATAAAGCATCCCTCCTTACCTGTAATGATCTTTCACTAGTTTTCCAGGTGCTGACTACAGTAATACCCACCCATAATCTCAACCATGTACAAAAAAGCCAGGTGGGGAGGGAGGTGGAGACAGTGTGCATGCAATGGAGCATGCATGAGCTCAACTTACCCCTGCAAATCGGTATTGTCTTACTAACATACAAGTAAGACATGTAATACTGTTATCTGGTTTAAATTATATTAAGTTTATATGAAGGAGAACAACTTTAAAAAGAAAATAGTTAGTATTTGGTTCAGGTAAAGTTCAGTCTAAACCAAGCATTTTTGTTCCACCAAGTTTTATTCAGGTAGTTAGACATCAACATTAAAGAACAGCATGCTTTCAGAGCCATCCAAAACAACAGGAGAAAAACGTCCCCTTTTTCCTCAAAATAAGTTCTCCAAAAAGTACAATGCTGATACTCAGTTAAACCTCTTGACTCCCAAACATGTAAAACGCTTTAATACCACAGAGAAAACGTCAGAAGTTAGAAACACGAGAAAATCTGCTTCAAATGACCATTCATATTCACATACAGTGGTTTCATACTTTGTCTCCACAAGGTATTGAAAGTTGCATGCAATATTCTGAACTATTTGAACCATAGATCTTATTTCTACCAAGTCGTTCAGAAGAGAGAAAGTGAACTCCTAGCCTAATTAGGAGGTGCTAAGCTTTGACCAAATTTATAGAACAGAATGTAAACTTCTCTCAAGTACCCTCTGATGTTTTGTTAAACATCTGTTTTTCCTACTTCACTTCCTGTTCTCTTTCTCTCCCTCCCCCACCAGACAGGAAATTGTCTTGACAACAAATGAATCAGCTAGAAGTGGAGCTAAGCAGCCATCAGCTGATTCTTCATTGTTTACAGTCACAGACACTTCAAAAAGCCTTGCTACTGTTTTCTTCCTAAGTGACTGTAGCTGTTCAAACTCCATTTCGTTTAAATAAACGTTTAAACACAACAGAACAAGCCATTTGAAGAGCCTAAGCAGTGATTCTCATCTTGAGATAGAAAAATCAAACCAAGAAACAGGTTCCTCAAAGTAACTGAAATCATAACAACACATATTGTAATTGTCTAGTCGTGGGATCTACCAACCTTTTATTTCTACATTCATCTTTAAAAAAAAAAAAAAAGGGGGGGGGGGGGGGAGGGGGGGGCAAAGAGAAAAAGCTCTAAAACTCCCAAAGAGCAATACAAATGCATTTGCTCTTTAGATGCCATCTGGAAAAGCAACAGTATTGTTCATGGTCTATAGCAGCCTTGTAATGTGCTATTACAATGCCAACTCCACATTAGTATTGCTGCATTTTTTTTTTCCTAAACTTTTCTTCCCTCAAGAAAACCTAACTCCCATACACAGAGATTGTGAGAAGTACTTCAAGTTTGAAATTAGTATTCAACATAGGCAGTTTCTACAGAAACTGACCTATTTTAGGGCTGTTACAGGATTTATATTTTATCAGTTAAGTATGTTTAACAAACTTTAAGCATCCAGTACACCAAATATTAGCCTCAATACTTTTGGGCTTCCTATCTCACATTCCAAAAAAAAGAATTAAAAAGTTCAGATCAGTATGACATTTAAGATAGCATGTAAGCCACTTAAAGTAAGCAAAAAAGAACACAAGAACTGTGGACAACCAACTCCATAGTTAAAGATTACATCACTACAATTAGTCCAACTATACATCTCTGAAAGAGTTCAAGTGTGCCTCTTACCACAATTGCATGCGGAGAATGCACTAAGGCCTTAAGTTCATTCAGGTCGTTCTCAGCCTGCAGAAATCGGCATAAGAAGAAAAAAAAAAAAAAACAAACAACAAAAAAGTATATAAGGAGGGTGGATTTTGAATTCTCTCACAGATACTATAAATTTAAACAGTGGTTAATACAGTCCTATAAGCCCTACGTTACCTTATCCCATTCTCCTTCCATGACATGATTGCGGAATTTGGTAGCAGAAGGATGTTCTAAACGACATCCTGACTCTTGCATGAGAAGATCAACAGTCTGGCTGCAGGAGAGATACAGTGTAAAAAAACCCGACCAGTTTTACCCTCACAAATATACCACCTGCTATATGCTATACAGTAAACCGTATTAAAAAGTAACTTTATTAAAGTAAGAATACTATGACCAGATTCAGATGCTTGTCCAAAGAGACTATCTCAGTTGCCTGAGACATGTAAACAGCTACCTATACCTAAAGCAAGTTGCCAATGAGCTTGAAAGCTTCGCTGAAGTACCATAAAGTATGTGACTTACCAGCCACCACAAACAGCCATCCCTGCACAGAAGATAAACTTCATGAAGGAAGATACAGACTAGAAAGCTGTTAGCTACTGGCTACTATCCCCTGCCCTCTCCCTCCCCCCACAAAAGAGCACAGAGAGCTACTACATCTGCAGTGGGCCTAACTTTTTCTTCTTCATCACGTATTAAGACTGGCTCCTTAAAATAAAATAAACAAAGTCATGAACCTGTAGCCCTCCCCCTTTTACACTAAAAATAGCTTATTTACTGTGGTGTCGTCTATGAACAGTCACGAGTTGTCCGCTGCTGTAAACTCGCCTCTTGTGTCACAGGCAACGTGTTTTATATGCTAAGTTCTTTATAATTGACCCATTCCACAGTGTTTTGAAGACTTCCTTAGTGGTAGCTACGTGAAGAGTTTACAGGACTTCTCTAGCCTCCTTCCAAAATTATGACGTGTTGGCTTCAGCTTTACTCACAAAGCAAGTGTTGTGATTAAATTCTTAGACTTCCCCTACTCCACTGGGAAATTATTTTCCCTTATTCTGATTCTAAGAAAGAGCCAACATTCTCTTTCTAGTCTACAGAGAACATTATTATCAAAAATACATGCCCAACACAAATCTGCAGAGGCTTTCACCATTTACAGGGACGAAGGTTTTCAGAGTGAAACCAAACAGCCTGTTTAAGTGGCAGTTTAGTTTGTGCTCGCTTCCTCCGAGCTGACAAGCCAAATCTGGGAGCTCATCTGCAAAAAGCCATCCCCCCCTCCCCCCCCCCCGCCCCCATCC